AATGGATGTCTGATTTTTAAAACTTTCTCCCGATATGGCCTTGTTAATCTCCCTGGGGAAGTTCTCTGCAATGCTGTGGAAAAGCATGCCTAACTGGTGTTCTGTCAGATATTCTAAATTAATTACAGACCTGTTTTGATTTGTCTCACTATGAAGCCTGACACATAATAATTGTTCTGCCCCTTTTGTGTCTCAGCTGTATGTGTTATGTCATAATGTATAGAATATCATTTACTGAATGTCAGTGTTAAGTGAATGTGTTTAATCTTGCTCATATATTAAGTTTCCTTGCTAGTATGGGGGTTTGTTTGACAATCCTATTCAGTTTTTATCATTGTAAGGCTATGATATTCAAATAAATATTAATAACTCAATGAAATACAACTACAGCATCATGAAAATCATATTTTATTTTAATTAGTATTTTGGCTGCTTAGGGCATATCCCAAGGCTCTGAATCACTACCACATGTCACAATTTATTCAATCCAGTTCTGTTCGCAAACCAGAAATGCATGACTAAAACAGTGGATAGAGTTAGAAGACTTGTCTTTTGGTTTGAGCTCAGGTCTATGCAATTTAATGTGCACCCAGTAATGCTGAACATAAAGCAGATCTGTTATGCAAAATCGAGCTTTTAACCATGTTATGGTTGTTTTGTTGTTTACCCTGGCTGTCAGAGTTGTATTTGGAGTGATTCGTGCATGTTTTCAAGACGACATTTTGACTATCAACCACCGTTTTCACTGCCACAGGCATATGCCTGCAGCTCTGTACTTCGTTCTCCACTAACATTTTCTTAATTGCTGATGCACATTGGATTAGGCAGCATTAAATTGTCATTTTTCTACAAATAGATGGAAAAAAGCAAGCGACACATCCAGGTCAAGTTACAGGCCTAATCTGTGGCGGGGTGACCCCACACACAGCAACAGTGTTTGTCAAGGGGCCTTTAAGCAATAAACACACTGTAATTGAACAAATAAGAGACGGATATTTTTAATGCCATATCGTGGATCATTCCAGGCAAAGCAGTATCATCTATTTTTGATGGATCCCCCTACCTCCACGAGAAAGGTTACATAGTGCACTTTTAAATAGTAAATTATTTACTTTGTTGCTTGTGTGTGTGCATTTGCACAACAATTAGTCAGGTCATTAGTGGTTGTTTTATTGATTTTTGTGATTATGTCAATAGAGGTTGTGGAGTAGATATCTATCAGAGCTTTGCACATTTGAAATCCTCTTTACAAACACTGTGTTTGTTTTCACAGGCTCTGCTGCTTCATGGCTCTCTCCCTGAAGAGGACCAGGAGGCAACCGCCAACTACGGAGACAGTCGAGCCAATCCTGAACAGCAACTGGTACAGTGGTCTCTCTCTGTCAAATTTAACTATTTTAAGGGTTTTAGGACTGCACAATCACATTTTTAATGTTTTAATTATCTTCATGTTTTAATCAACTTTCACTGAACATTAATTTTTTTGCAATGTGTTTACTTACTTACTATATATTTGTTGCAATATTGATTATTAGCCAATATTTCGATGTTGGTACTTTAACAATATATTGTAGCCCTTATTTCTATGTCACTAACCAGAATGTTGATTTGTGATGACGTTTACACATCACTCCCTCCTTAGTTATACACAGCTGAAATCTCTCTGATCTGAGCCTTCACTGTCATAGAGACCAGACAGATCACACATGCTACTTATCTTTTTTTTTTTTTTTTTTTTTTTTTTTTTGAAGGTTTTAATCCGGAGCCGTTTGGACCAAAGTGTGGAAGAGGCCCTTGATCTTAAGGTACTTTGCATAAATGTGAATTACAATTTACAGATTATTATGACGAGAAACAATACATTTTATTATACTTCTATATTATAATTTTAGAGGGAGCTTCTGAGACACAAACAGGAAGTGCGCCATGTCCAGGCCATCAAGGTACACTGGATATTCCTATTACTATATGGCTTCCTGTGTGGATACAAAGGATGAAACAGTATCATTTAATAAGCCCCCTGGTATTTTGCTTTATTGCTGGATGATATTTGATCTGTAAATGCAATTATTTATGTTTTATGGGACAGTAATGGTCGCATGCTGTCAGTAAAGCAGGTGTATGTATTCTATCTGTATTCTGGTCTTCTGCTGCTTCCATTTCTTTGATGTGTTCCTGTCTCATTAGGATGCTCTGCAGCAGCGCCTGGCAGTGCAGGAGGACACTGTGCTGCAGCTCAAGCAGGAGCTGCTCAGGTGCACCATGGCCAAAGATCAGCTGGAAGGGGAAAATGTGAGACAAGTTATGATATCCGTTTGACACCATGCTATGTGTCCTGACTGACCTCAGGCTGCAGCTAATGTGAAAACAATGGTGCCTTCATTCTTCAGCATGATGTGTTGTGTTTGCAGGCAGAGCTCAAACACAAATTGAGTGAACGGAGCAAATTACTGAGCGAATATGAGGTATTGTTTTTTATTATTTATACCCCTGGATTCTCTGAGGGTACACATGTGTATTTATGTGTATGCTGCTCGTGATTTATGGCATTCATTGGACTTGTCACATCTGCAGCAGGTCGGGAGGAGGGAGCGATTAATGCAGCAGCAAAAGCCTGATGAAGCCCCATATAAAGCACATGAAGTCAACCTTGGACGGGTACAAATACTCACACTTGCAGTACATATTTGGCTGTGCCTGTTTGGTGGAAATTCCTTTTACCCACTTTGTAAATCTAAGTGGGATTAAAGGTACTGTATTGTTGTTCACAGGGGGAGGAGCTGCAGCTGGTGAGAGAAGCACTGCGCAGTTTGCGAGACAGTTTCTCTGGTCATGACCCGCAGCATCACACATTGGACACTTTGGAGCAGGGCGTGGCCAGTCTCATGGACCGCCTACACTCCCTGGACACCCAGCTTAGACAGGACAGAGGGGTACGCAACCTTTCCTCCCTCAAATCTCCCTCAAATCCACAAATTCTTGTAGTACATGAGTTCAATGCATGTGTTGATTGAGAGTGATACCCCTCTCTTGTAGGAGGATTTCAAATCACCAGGACGCAGGGCAAACTCCACAGACCGTGACTCTTGGCCACAAGGCTCAAGTGAGGCAACTCAAATCTTTATTACCTCCTGCCACATCTCATCTGACTATTAAATCAAATACAGTGTCTAATTACATCCCCAATGTGTTCAGGGCATTATTGACTTTGAATCTATTGCCATTGTGGTGTTGGATGGTGAAAAGCAATGTCTGCTGTTTTTTATAATAATTCTCAGAAATGGCACACTCCCAAAGCAGCCCGGGGTTGGACACAGCCGTCTCCACCAAAGTGCTCTACTTCACTGATCGCTCGCTCACCCCCTTTCTGATTAACATCCCAAAAAGGTGATTTTACATTGTCATGACGATTATTGTTTTTGCTTGATAAATTCATATGAGCTGAATTATGTGAAAACTGCAGGCTGAGGGCACTGGGTAGGAAGGAGCCTTGTATGACCAGGACTATAAATGCACAATTCTGTGGTCTGGCTTTTTAAATGTTTATGTTCGAGGAGTTTGATGTGTCTGTAGGCGTGTGCTAGCGCATGTGCACTGATAATGAATGATGGCTTGTACTTACAGGCTGGGTGAGGTGACACTGAGAGACTTCAAGGCTGCTGTGGACCGGCAAGGCAGTTTCAGATACCACTTCAAAGCCCTTGACCCGGAGTTTGGCACCGTCAAAGAAGAGGTAGGAAAATTATAGCAGCTACTTCTTCACTCCTCAACTTCACTAGGCAAATAAATGCCAACTATGGGGTATAATATGCTAATAATAGTCTCAGCGTGTCTATCCTATACTTCAAAACACTGCTGGAGAACTAATTTACATCCCAAAGACATTGGTATCACTGACCTCTCATTTTCAGTTAGTGTCTGGATCTTTGTTCGTTATTCATGTATATTTTTTCTCTGATATGTAAATGATGAATGTTCAATGTGTAGGTTTTTCAAGATGGAGCAGTTGTACCTGGCTGGGAGGGGAAAATTGTGGCATGGGTTGAAGAAGACCATGGAGAAAGGAGGTAGACCGCAGAACTATAAACCTCAAAACTCACTGGACTGAATATATGAACCACTATGTTATTATTTGTGATTGTGATTTAACAATGCTTTAAGAGGTACAAGACAATGACCTGGGACCAATGGATGTAACCTGATTTTTAAAAATGAAGTTCTCAAACTCACTATTTAATACAAAATGTAATTAAATGCATTTTTATTGCATATTCAAGCAAAGCACATCTCACAAAGTTCATCTCATGCACATTAAGATAATGATTGTTAAATAGTTTGTAATGTAATATGTTGGAGTTTGACAAGGTACGCTACATGACAACTCAATCTTGCCACTCAAATCTTGTATAAGCTCTTATGTGCAAAGTTTGCCAAGCTTACAGTGGTGTAAACTGTTTCACCCACATGTTCATGTTGCCAAATAGTGTTCCATGTTTTAATTAATAAACACAAATGACTGCATGGATCAGTTGTTGTTGGTTATTGCCTAATTATACAGTCATGTGAACTGCTGCATCTCTACATCATTATGTGGCCCACCCCTACACCCACACCATCACAGACAAACTCTACATGTATCACTGTACTAATTAGATAAATCATTGCAGTAAATGGGCTTTGGTGACCCATAGTGGGATTCTGACATCAGGAAATGGTTACACTGCAAAAACGACTATCTTAAATTAGTTTAAATTGTTTGAGCTATGAGTGTTCATCTAAATGAAATTGATTAATTCACCCGTCAAGAAAAAAGGATGAATGGAACAACATATTTCACTTAAAATGGTTTCATTTGTATCTGCTTGTCCCCATGGAAATATCACTGGTTTGCCTTGAATGTTACACAAGATGACATTAAATATATTTCTCCAGGTGTTATAATGCTAGAAAATACCTTGAACAATTCTTACTTTTAGCAGGGTTGTCTCTCAACAGATCTGACCTGTAACTTGTAACATGTTTCGATGGAGCCATTAACCAGTAAAGTTAAATAGCACATAAAATAAAACTGTAATATTCTGTGACAAGTCGATTCAAAATTTACTCAAATCTAGTAATACAACTTTAAATTATAAAATGTTTACTCTCAAAGTCAGTTGTCTCTTCTGCTTGTTAAATACAGCAGTAGCAGAATCCTCATCAACAAGATGAGGAAAGTCTAGGAGCAAATGGTACACATCTTCCACTTCCAATAAGACATCATCCTTCCGAAAGAGAAACAATTTTAGCCCAGACATCTCATACAGACGACCCACATAAGCAAAAATAAAAGCACTGAGGGCAATTATGTATTTTTCATGAGCTCACACTATGCTCTGACATTCGCTGGACTGTGGAGCCAGACGTTCATTATAACATTGTTCAAGGTTGTGTGAAAGTACTAACCTTGGAGATCCGCAGTTGGCATTCTGACATATTAGAAACCTTTGGCAGCTCCACTGTCAGCTCCACGCAGCGAGGAGAGCCTTCCGCATCAGGCCTCACCTCGAGCAGGTACTCTGGCCTCTGCGGCTGCACCAGTGTGGAGGAGATGACTTGGATCAGATTCTTTTTTTTAGGCTCCGCAGGTTCAGGAGCAATGAGGATCTCCTCTTCTTTCTCTGTATGTAGAGACGATATTTTCTGCAGGAGGGAAGCTGGTGTTTGACAGGCTGAGAAAATAGACACATTAATATTAAAATAACAGTTTGGATGTTATAGCTTTCCTACAGCATCATCATTCTTACACTACAGAAAATAAGCAGTGGTGGAAAGAGTACTGCAAATTTGTACTCAAGTAAAAGTACAGTTACATGGCTAAAATGTACTCAATTCCAAGCACAACTACTGCTTTCAAACTTGTACTTAAGTAAAAGTAAAAAGTACATATGAAAAATACTAATCAGAGTACAAGTAACTAGTTACTTTTTAAGAGATTTTAGGCAGCATTAGATCAGTATTCTATATAAATTAAACAGCTTAAAGCTGAATTTAATCATGAATGTAATTAGTGACTTTCCATCCCTGCAAATAAGTCAGTCAGAATATATATGGATCATACAGGCTACTCACTTGCCATTCTGGAACCGGGCTGTGCACTATGTCTAATTATAAACGTATATCTATTTATTTGGTCTCTATAGTATAATAAGGATATGCAGTTGCAGTTTCCAGGCTGTTCTTAAAATATGCACTACTGACAGTACACATAATGAGTACAAATCTAGCAATGTTGGCCTTTTTTCAATACAATGCTGTTTCTGGACCACAAAGAGTACACAATATCATCCTTTGAAAGAGTGTGTTTCACTTTTGTAATACCTATTTCTTCTTCACTGTCTGCTTTATTGCCCATACTAGGCCACTGTTGAAATCCAAGGCGACGGTGCAAGTCCTGTATGGTGCTTCTGGGGCTAACAGGAGTGTACTGTTGTGATAACTTGAGGTTGTGCTGCTGCTGTACAAAGTTCAAGAGGAGCATGTAGAGCCGGTTCATCTCTGTTTCATCGGGCTTATACTCCTTTAGCAGCCCGGGATTCACAGCGACATCCAGAACAGTGTAGGGTCCTGCAGGTGAATCCACACAGGTTTAATAGTCATATCAAACAGTGTACTTGTAATACCGCATGGCTTTGTCTCTTTCTTTACCTTGACCTCTTTTATCCTCTGTTTCTAGTTTACCGACGCACAAGGGTAATGGCTTGCCGGGGTGCTGGGGAGCTGGCACACGTTTCCAGCTACACAGGTTGATGTAGAGCTGCCCTCGATTTGGGTCCTGTTGAGGACACAGATGTTGTATAGTAAATAACTGGTAAAACATACAATTTCAAACCTATAAACAAGAGATGGATGAGACAGCTCCATATGGGGCTCACTGGGAACACTTCATGCTTTTTACAGCCCTATCATAAAAACACTCAGTCATTTAAATCTCCATCAACTCAAGAGCACAGGCGAGTGATTAATATATGGCAGCCTAATGCCTAAATGACATGTTTAGCTGTGCATCTTTATAGTGTGGTACATTATGTTGTAAATGCGTAAGAGGCTTGTATATTCTTTTAGGAGAGGAATTCATGAAAAAATATAGTATTCATGGGTTTTAGATTTTTAATATGCAACATTTTGAGGACTTTTCCTCATTTGAATAATTAAATACTTAGTTTTATATGTTTAATTATTAATGCCATTCTGAAAACCCATGGTAAATTGTCAGAGATGATGGTATAGGTATTAAAAAAAAAAATCATAACAAAGGGTCATACATAGCATACAAAATATACCAAATATAAGTAGAAATGCATCTGCAGGCTTCTTCACTTAGTTACGTTCTACTTACTACATTAGATCAATATTTCACAACCTTTCTCGACAAGCTGTTTTACAAGGAAAAATATAGTTGCTTCGTAGTACCAAATAGACATTACAGAGGCATATAACATGCTATGCCTCTCTTAAGATGATCTCCGGGGACCCAAATTTGTGGGTCAGTGCATTGGAGAAAATAATTTTAATGGGGTTAGAGTAGGTCTACACCCACAGGTCTTCACACATAGTATCTATAAAGTTTTGATTAAAATACTTTGCCGTTCATTTCCAAGCAAATAATGGGCTACAGACGAGACCTTTGAAGAAATCAATAAATCATTTGACTACGCAGGCCAAGACAAACTGCATTTCTTTTACTCTCGGATGGAGCCTCCGTTTCCCTGCGTTACTGGAAAGTGCATGGAGCCCTTTAATGCACATTCAGAAAAGATAACATAATTGGTCAATCCATATTAAATCGAGAGCAATCAGCATTACTGGACCCACTGGTGCTTTCAAACTGTTAGCTTCAGCCAAGTGGGCGACTGTACTTTACTTTACTTACCAGGATGTCGGTGCAGATGCAGGAATGGAGCTCAGGCGCAGCACTCAAGTCTGCTCCTTCTTTCATTTGTTTTTCTATCAATTTACGGTAGGCCTCTGGGTCATCTCGACAAAGATCATCCAACATGGACCAGAAATGGTTTATTTGCTGCAGAACGTTCACTTTACTGTTCCCCGAAGATGACATTATTAGTTTGGTAACTATTAAGCTAACTTCAACGCAAATAAGCTTGAACTTTCAAATTAACTTAACTTGAAATTAACAAGTACAAAGAAAACTGATAATTGCTATAATGCGCACTTTCGGTCGTAGATAATTAACTTTGACTTAGTGCCTAACATTTAAAGTTTAAGTTGTATCATTGGTTGACTAAAGCAGCGCGTAAATTAGCTAGTTAGCAAAGTTAGCGTTGTCCGTTTCTATAGTAACAGTGGGAGTCCTTGGTAAAACTAGAAGCGCTTTACCAACGCCCCCTGGTGGTAAAGAAAACAACTGCCTCTTTAAAGTAAAGACAGTAAAATAAAATTATTTTCATTTTATTTTTAAATAACATGTGCATTATATAGTGATACGTAGTACATAAAAATATAACAAAAATATGCATTAGCTCTTTAAATACTTTTAAGCTTAGGTACAACCACTCAGGTCCTGAAGATCATGCATAAACCATGACCATGACCATTGAGTTACCAGCTGAATCATTTGCCTGAAACCCTTGAATAGACTAACCCTGATGCATCAGTAATTCTGCAAAAACAAAACAAACAAACAAAATCAAATAATTATCAAGCATCATCAATAGGCTAGTGTGATATTGTTATGAAATACTTGAGCCTGTGGGCCTGTTGTAAACTACTGTCTTACCTCAATCATGTCATAGATCCAGCCCAGGAATTCAGCCACTTTGGTGTAGACACCGGGATGATTTGGTTCTGCACAGCCTGTTCCCCAGCTGACAACTCCCACCAGCCTCCACACATTATCATCCTGGCACACCAGTGGTCCCCCGCTGTCCCCCTGAAAGGTATGTATGCACACATCACATCTGGTTTCCTCATGTACCATTGTTTGTATCTACTGTAACTCACACAAGATACTTAGCATATACGTGTAGCATATAGCTAAACTGTGTCTGACCTGACAGGCGTCCACTTTTCCCTCAGTGTATCCTGCACAAAGCATCCGTGATGTGATTTCACCATTGTACATGCAGGAGCTGTTACACTTCTTTGTACTTATTATAGGAACAGGGGCTTCTTTTAAAGTGTCTGGTGACTGTACTGGAAATTAAATAGTTTTCTCATCATTACAGGATGTACTGGAAAGACATTTTGTGTCTTGTACAGTTCTTGTGTGGATCTTACTGCCATCTGGTTGTGTATAACCCCAGCCAGAGATCCAGCACTGTGTTCCTCCTGGTAGATGATAGTCATATTGTGGCAAGCACACTGGTCTTATTGTATCTGTTTAAAGTGCAAAATATTTTACAGTTTGAAATTCTTGATTGTGATTTTGATTTAGCATAACTAACCAGAGAAATTCAGTGGAGTGCGTAGCTTCATCAGGGCTATGTCACTGTCATGGCTTCTGTGGTTGTAGTTTTTGTTGTAGATAATTTTTTCAACAGCGTACCCCGTGTGCTGAGTCATTTTAGCTGAGCTGCGTGTGACAAGGCCAGCATAGACCACCCAGTTGGACACCTGAGGGAGTCTGTAGCTGTCAGAAGACAGGCACCAGTGTCAGAGTATAATCTAATATTATGCTGCTGCAGCTGGTAAAACTGATTACAACTGATGTGAGTAACCTTTCAACTTTGGCACTGAGAAGGTCAGAGGGCTTACTTGTGAACACAATGTGCTGCTGTGACGACCCAGTGCCTGGTGATGATGGAGCCTCCACAGTTGTGGCGGTTGCTGTAGTAAAGACTGACCTGCCACGGCCACCTGCCCAGCGTCGCCTCAACGCCTCCGATTATTCTGGGCAGCTTCGCCCTGGTCCCACACTCTGCACAGAGAGCCATTCATCAGGCCTGACCACGAGAAGGTGGAACACTGCTTCAGCAGGTGTCATCCATCACCGGGTCTGCCGTCCATGCACACCTTTACTGCAGAATCACTAAACAACTGTAAGCTTTTGTATTTTAGGAGAAGTCTGAAAAATGTAAATGAGCTCACCAGAACATTGTAAAGCGATAACCTTCCCTGTGATACAGCTCCCCCTAAATGAGAACAAAATGGGTAACTAATGATCCATAATCAACGTGTTATGTTTCTACAACGTGCTTTACCTTAGCTGCCACATATTTTCCAGTCCACTTTTGTTTTCTGGAGCAATTTGTATAAAACCATTAGTGTAGCTTGGTCCAATGTCGGTAAGATTTACTCCTTTATGTTTTGTTAGACTGAAAAGGGGACACATTGAAAAATACGTAGTTTGTATTCAGAAAATGTCACGTAAAGTAATTTGTTTTTGTGACTTAAAAACAAGACGATTTCTCCACTAGCTGTAACAGCAAACTTTTCATCATAATTTAAAGTTGTGCACATACCTGAGATATCCCAGCTGTCGACAGACCAGTGTTCCCAGAGACGTGTTCCATCTCTCATAACACACAGGCAGCCAGGTGGGCACTTTGCTCAGCTGGATCTCCAAAACGGAGTTCTCTGGACTGATCCTGTAAAACACTGAACCTGATTCATTCAAAATCCCTCCAGATAAGCACTCAATCAGTTATAACATAATTCTCTGGAAAAAGCAGCGAATATCAGTTTTAATGTAGGCATTACAAGTAGATCATTATGCACTGTGTTTCATGCCAGTCAGTGTAACGTGAAGTGGCTCTTTGAATATTAATGGTGCTGCTCAGAGCAACAACACTCAAATAGTCCAGAGGTACGACCTGGTGTACTGATTTAGACACACACACACACACACACAGCCCACTGCTTCAATACTGATGCTGAATGAATACGTATCTTGGTGAAAACAAACCTTTTCTGGAGTCTGGGATGGAAATGTCTTCAGTTACATTGCAGAAAGAGGTTTCTTTGGTGTCGCCCAAGCCCACTGGACTGTGAGTGGAAGAAGGCCTTAGGAGCAGTTTGACTGCATAGAAAATACAGTATAACTTGTCATTAATATAACATATAGACACGATCATTATTACATGTGGCTGTATTGCTCTAATGTGGACTGGAATGCATTATGCAGTAATAGAATCTGTTGCACTCACCCAGAAACCAGACTCCAACTGCCAGACCCCCCAGCAGTCCAACAGCACACAAAGCAGCCATACACCTCACCAGTCTGTGGGCTGGAGCACAAGCTAACCGTAAGACATTGCAGCATAACATAAAGACATCAATCATTATCAGAGATGTTAAAAATCCACGTATTCACCAAAAGAATGAAACCAACTTCTGCTTGGCACGTCTTTGGTGTCCTCCAGTCCTGATGTTTTGGCAAAGGTTGGAGTCACAACTGCAGGGTTTTCAATCACTGATAAAGTCTCTCCATCACTACTCTGTAAGCACAGGGGTCAGAGGAGGTCATCCAAATCCACACCAGAATGATAACAGTAAAAATCAATAATCAAATGCGGTATCAGTCCAGTTAGATTTGCCACATGGATAATATTAATAATAATAATAGTAATAACAATAAAAATAATAATACAGCGCTCTTCATGACTCTCAAAGATGCTTCACACAGTTCAAAGCAAAACACAAGGTAAACAATTAACAATTTCTCTCACAGATTGCTTATTATCAAACCTGAATACATCATTTTGTGAATAAATACAATCATATTTTTAATCTAGTTCATGCATGTGTGAATAGCTTCTTCTGTAGCCATAACTGAGACTGGGACTGACTAACAAAAACGCGTCATGCCCAAAGACACATCAAACTATGTATAACTATGTATAGGTATAGCTAATGATAACGTGACCCACAGGCGATCCTGGAATAGACTGTCCCAACCATACTATACAGTGTCTAAAACTACTGCTAGTGTTAAAAGTTTTGAAATAACATTACAGTTTTTGTAGCTTACATTATGGTACTCTGTCTAAAGAAAGGTACGATTACTGTCTGTTATAATATGTAAAGGTGAGGGCATACACAGTCTTCGATTCAGATAAGGAGGTAAAGAAGGTAATTGAAAGTTGAGTTGTTTGTTTCTTACCATGTTTTCCTTCCTTATAATCCCTGCTAAAGGCACCTGTGTTTGGGCTCATCTGCAGGCCTGAGCGGAGGCACAGGTCTGGTCCACTCACAGTTGATGCTCCATTTAACAGAATGCAAGTGTGGATTTTCCCTGGACAAAGAGACAATGAGGTCAGCAGTGGTGCAGAGAATGAGGCTGTTGTTTGCCCTGTGGGATCATGGGGCCGGTGCAAGCTGCAGGCTGAACCAGGTCTTTGTCGACAGAGCATCTCCAGAGATACCTGCGAGCTGGACATTGATAGGACCCTGGGTTGCTAGGAGACCCTTTTACCTGTGCCAAAAGCTGTCCACTTTCACAGCACAGCCGCTTATTACCTGACAGTTTGTAGGTTCAGAGAGAAGGTCATTATTGCAGATTGTTGAAAAGTCTCATATCTTGTTCATTTGCTGTCATTTAGAATCCTGAGCTTGTCTCTTAGCACTCATGCTCAGCCTCACATCTGCTCTGTCCACATACTCACACAAGTCTCTTTCCGTGTTCTATTTTCATACACCAAAGTTCTGGTTGTTCAGTTCTCTTAGGACGACTGTAACAGGGAAAACGGCTCTAAAAATGACCCAACTGTCCGATCGTATCAAACCAACTGTAGAAAATAAACCCTGTCATTTCTGAATAGTGCTGCTTTCAGAAGATGAAGGGTCTCTGCCCTCATATTTAGTTTTTTCTTTTGGCCTGAGTGAAATTGTTACTTAATTTATTTTTCCCTCTTGGTTAAGGGTCAGTATTAGTAGGCCTTCATTGTGCTCCTTTTCAGACATGTTTTGTTAATAGTTTTGTTTAGATCCATGGCGACATTATGAAGTCAGTGACACATAGCAGAAAACATTTAATTGATTGACTGAAAACATATTGGATGAGACCCCGCAATTATAAGAGATAATACAACCACTGAGATTCAATAAAACTAAAAATCTTATTGGCTCCTCTTCCAGCTGTTAGTTAGTGCTGCAATCAAAGATAAAGAAATTAAAGGTACTCACGGGGAAAATTAAAAACAAATGTGAAACTGCAGTCCTGTTAATAATCCAGAGTATGGGTGGGGTTCACCTGCATCAAAGCTATCACAATGAATGACTATTTGCCCTGTGTCTCCCTCTTCTGGTTTATTTTATATATTTTTTAAAATTTAATGAAGACATTTCTGAGTTTTGGAGCATTGCTGGTTAAGGCCTTGCATGAGTCTTGTCACAAAGGCCAATCTTGGAGACTCCTCTGTTGATGCTGGCTGCAGTCCAGTTTGGAGCGCCCCCTGTCTGCAGCAGCCAGTTCTCCCTGTCTGTGGTGCTGAGATTGGATCAGCACTGCTCTTCTCTCAGCCTTGAGTTTGTGCTCTTGTTTCTGAGGCCAAAACCTCCAACACCAGAGGCATTCTGTCAGTCACATGTCCCGTCCAGACTGAACACTGCAGAAAAAGAGAGCTACTTGTGCAGAGTCCAGCTCACCAAGACATTTGCATATTCAATGAGTTGTTAATATTTTGATATTTGGCTGTGACCTCCTGCAGAAATAACATTAACGCCTGGACTAGACACAGACAAAGATAGTTCTGCTGAAACCTGTTTAGAAAGATCTGTATTCACACATCATCATGTCCAAATGAGTGAGACCATCTTAGTGCAACAACACCACACGTCATACTTCTAGATGATGGTCACTTTTCTCTATTGATAACATGGTACATTGCCATGGAATATATCTAAAAGATAACTTGTTGAACCTGATCATTTATATTGGTGATCGCTTAAGTTATTATAGCAAGTACCAAGATACCAATGAAAAAAGTGTAAAACGTTTGAAATGTTGAGCAATATGATAATAATTATGATTTTATTCTAACTGTAAAATGCAATTATTTAATCTAGCCTCTTTATAACATTTTTATTTTCATATTGAAATGTTTTTAAAGTTACCTTAATTTTAGAAAACTATGTTGTGTTGCCAGTGCACTTAAGACATATACTTATTTGCATATTCTGTTTGGCGCCATTATCAGCATTCTAACAGCAACTAATGATACCATAATTAATGAAAATAGTGTTTAGCAATCTGTAAATAATCTACCCCCCACCGCACTATAGAAAAACAGTGAGGCTGCGCTGTGGTTGGATACAGATGATGATACCGCTCTGTGTGAGACCCTGACCACCTCTGGGCCTGGGTAATTGTATAGCTCTGCTGCCTTCAAATGGAGTCTCTGTGGAGATATAAATCCTCTCTCCACTGTGGCCTCCTCTCAGCTTGTGCCATGCTGCCATCTTGTGGCTGACTATTAAAAAGCTAAAGGTGTGCTCATCCAATTAGACTATTCCAGTTCAGTTTCTTTTAACCCTATCAATATTTTAAACTCCCAATAGGGCAACATTAGACTATAAAGTAAGCTGTACTGAACCTGCTTTGACACACTATATGATCAGGGCAGTCATATTAATTACTTTCCCAGCCTGGGATGTGAGAACTTGAATGGTATCAGATTTTAAAAGAAGGGTGAGCTGAATAGTATTTGAATTAAACATTAGATCAGTTTTAGATTTGAGACATCAATATCATTAAAACAAAAAAATATATAATAGAATAATCAATTACTATGGTAAATATTTTTACTATCTGTGTCAGGGAGTATAAGACAAAGCTCAGGGGGTACTTCATTGGGAACTACCGGGCTAAATAGGAGTAAACTTGTGTGAGTGTTGAGTAGAGCACATCTTCACAGCAGTGTCTAAATGGGATACAGTTATGGCAGTATTGGAAGTGGCAGGGTGAATAAATTGCTGTCATGTATATGTTTGTGTCTTGTCTTGTACAAGCTAATGATGGTGAGAGCGGCTAAGAGCACAGCAGATGGTAGCTAATGTGGTTTGCCTTAGCTGCCCACCACGCTTACTCTAATTAAACAGAGGCGATTGCATTAACACTGGCTCCCACTCAATCTGCTCCCTCACTCCTCAGACTGGAGCAGGCTGGGATCAGGGCTGGACTCAGTACTTGCTCATTTTTTATGAAAGGGACATCTGAGATTTTAATTCAATATTTAAAAAAAAAAAAGGATATTTTAAAATTCTTTTTTCACATTTTGATTTAACCCGCTGTTAAAATAGTCACTGATCATTTTAAAAGTCTATTAGTCATGATTATTACGTTTAGTCATTGCAGACCTGGAATATTGCATTTGTTGTGCTTAAAAATACCATAGGTGAACATGGATTCATACACTGAGCAGGCATTCCTTTCCACAGATCTCACCTGTAACTTGGTTTGATAGCATCACCAAAGCAGTAACATCTCCATGGAGACAAGCAAGTCCTAAAGCCTCCATTTGATAAGTTACATAGTACACCTTTAAAAGAAAATCACATTATTATTAATCATCAGTTAAGCCAATTATTATTTGGGGGATTTGTTGATGAGGTGATAGCTTACATTTCATGAACAATACCAGAAAAGTTGAGTTTACTATTTGAGCATAGCCATCAATGCCAGTGCTGTTGATAACATGTTATACTGTGCTTTCTAAGTACAATTTTTCTGACCATTTCCAACTAAATCATGATTAAAAATGTGCAGCATAAACTATCGTCATTTTTCAGGCTAACATGCAGGGCTGCCGTAAAACTCAATCCTTATGTTTGTGGTAATTGTTTTGTGTCTTGCAGTTTGTGTCTTGGGCTTTTGAGTGCTCCCATTATTTACAAGAAAAACAGTAAACAGTGCAGGTTGCAGTGGTGGGCCCAGGAAATAGATTGCATAATAAAACATTTGTAGTGCTCTCAACGGCTACTTTACAGCAAAAATGAATGATTTAACAAATAAAGGCCATAAGTATTGGACAAGAGTTGAACACGCTAGCTGCTGTTCATTTGTGTAGGGGTCTAGAGTAGTCTTCTAAGCTCTTAGTTGAGACACACTTGATTTAGTCATCTTCTCTTCTTCACATTTGCACTTGTTGCAGGCTCCAGCTGTGGCTCTGCTCCTCTGTATCAAAGGTCACCACAGAGCCGGGATCCAGTCCAGCTGTTTACAAGTCACCCAGAGGACACACAAACTTTGTAAACAACTCAAGATGATGCTGGTAAGGTTTTGGCCATAATCTCTTACCAGTCAACAAAGAAGAACAGTGAGTACATACAAAGACACACCATGTGCATAAAATGGTAAACAGTTTTATTCTTTTTTGAACCATGCCACTGAACACTGATGCATACAGAGTTGTGCCTGAATCCACACAGAGGATAACACTTTCACACACTGTGTTACAAAGCTGTAATGAAGAGAGAGTTTACTGCACACATGGCAAGAAGAACAACCCTGATTGGACACCAGGTCGAGCTTTGATCTGGCCCTGAGGTAGACAGACATTGACAAAATCTAAACAATGCTAGTCACATCCTTGTAGAACACATCAAATAAAAGGACATCTGCATTATCACAACATAGAGAGATCAAAGAAAACCCCTTTTCACACAAAGTGCTCTGTTTCTTTTGGTCCATTGGATTTCCATTAGTGCATGTTCATGTGGATACAGTGAATGTGTATTTTCATGGCACTGAGTGTTGTTGGCTACTTAAAAGGCATGAGGATGCCCACAGACGCCAAGGTTTGTTTTACTCACTGGTTTCATTTTAAGATCTCAGTCTATTGTCACTTTAAAATAACTACATATTTGAAACGAGTGTGGACTTTTTTTTACATTGAAATTGCTTGTAACTTGCATCAGAGTATCAGCCACTATCACAGTTTGTTGCTTCCAGTTGCAATGTTCAGACGAGTGGATCTACATGGCAGTCTATTTGAATTAAGTAACAATAAACAAACACTCAGAAACATCTACCAATAGCACAGACCCATGTACTCAGCACATCAAGGCTCTACTTATAAAAGAGGCACAAGGGAGGGGTCGTATCAACACTTACAAAACACACAGTAAGATGTCTCTCAAATCATACCAAATGTAAACAAATAGCAAATTACTGTGATACAAAAATACAACAAGTTCAACTCTATAAGGCCGGTAAGGCTCACATAAGGGAATAACGTGACAGTTGTACAGTACAGCTACACTACAATTAACAATTACCTGCTCATGACACAATGTCAGATTTTTTCATATTGAAAAAAATCATTTTCACATTTTCTTAACTTTTCATAGAAAATTCTGATTCTTGATTTTGTAAGACATCTATATGTACTATATAGGTAACAATTAAAAAACTACACATAAAAGCCATTCGGCATTTTTACACATTGTTGACCATCAAAGTTTGAATGGTGGTAGTAAGAAAATTAATGTTTTGACAAAAAACTAATTTCAGTAGGTTTAAAATAAAATCAGAGGTAGAGCTTGCTCTACTATAAATCATCTTGAGATGCTGCCTGTGATACACACCAGCACATATTTGGTAAGAAACATATAGCAAACCAACTACATTGCAAGAAACTTAAAAGTGTGAGCTTGAACGAACACTCACTGCAAGATAGACAAGGCAGTTAAATATTTCAAGCTTATGAGGTCAAAACATGGCAGCCATTCAAGTAAAACATGCACAAAACCAACAACTCCAAAAATAAAACCAAAAGCAGAAAAACTAACTGGAGAAAATGTTAACTCAAAGACGCTTTCATGGAATAAATGTGATCTGTGGATGATGCACAATCCTGAAAGTGACAAGAGCTCCTGCTACACACCGGCAGTGGCAGCCATGGTTATTTTCTAATAGTACGGATGGATTGTAGGTTCAGTCCTGTGTGAACCAGGCCTATAGTAACACAACAACAAACAGCAATATCTATCACATGATTATCACAGAGTTTTTGCTTACTTTGAAGAAATGTCTTAAATTTAACATGTAATTTCCTTTAGGCTTTAAACAGACAAAACTTCAGCTTCAGCTGTTTCAGTTGTCATCTACTGTCATGGTTTGTTTAGCCCAAGTTCTTTATACCTGACCCAGTCAGATTAAAAAAAAAATCCACCTACATATACAGGTTACCACAATAAACATTGTCATTCAGAACAATGTTATTCTCTTGTAAACTATAATTCCCTGTTTTTCAGTTCTAAAAACTTCCTTAAAAATCATTGAACAGGGAGTGTGATTGTGTCAGTGTGATCAGTCCAAGTCCTGCTTAGACATAACAGACGTACAGGTAAGTCTTCTCTATCCTCCAGTCGGGGGGTACCTCCTCAGGGTTGTGACCCTTCATGTGCTTCTGCATGGCGGCCAGGCTCGGGCAGAAGTCCTGGCAGATGGTGCACTGGTATGGAGACGCTCCATTGTGAGTGCGCAGGTGCTTGATCATCGCTGAATAGTCTCTTGAGCGTTGATGACATAACTTACACTCAAATGGCTTCTCCCCTGAAAAATTATAAAAATGATAAAATGATATAAAATATTTTTTTTAACATAAAAATGTCCTTAGATATTTCAATAAAAGATGTAAAACAAGTGAGATGGACCTGTGTGCACGCGGTAGTGCGTCTCTAGCTGGTGTTTGAGGCTGAACCTCTTGCCACAGCCATTGCACTCATAAGGCTTCTCTCCAGTGTGGATGCGCTTGTGGCCCCTCAGTGTGCCGTCATCTCTGAAGCAGCTCCCACAGAACTCACACTCAAAGGGGTGGTCTCCTGAAACAGGCACAGACACACACATGCACCGGTCATATGTGGTCATGCCAATCTCTTTGCTCTGTCATGTCCTGATGTCGTCCATGAAACACTCCCCCTGGCTGTCAGCTAATAGCTGATACAAGTGCTCCAGGCCTCATGTGCTCTGTTCTATACTGTAGTTAATCTATTTCTCTCCTAGGCTGAGAGTTTGACTCATCTCCAATGACCTATGTGCCTCATTATCTCAGTGTCCACAGCAACAGCCAAGTCAGAGGATACATTGCTCTCCTCATTACAGGCCGATTCTCCCCGATCCCCCACCCCACTGTGGAGCAGATGACATTTACAAAATGTTACTTCCAAGCAGAAAGGCATACAAACAAGATACGCTGCCATGGCCAAAACTCCCTTCACTTCTGTCTCTTCACATCAATTATGTATTTCTCCTGTCTAGACATCAAGTCGTCCTGACAGCTGCGAGTGTTATTTAAGGTAAAAGAAGAAAGGGGGACATCTTGGCAGTAAATATCTCTCCGTCTCCCGCGGCACTAAGACTCACCCTCGGTAGAACACACAGACAAGTCATTTCCATTTGCTTTTCCTTCAATATTTATTTGGGTTTCCTCTATCATTTTGGGTGAACCACAGTAGAACTGACAGCCGTGAATTGCACAAGCCCAAAGGCTGTCTAAGAACCCAAAATATAAACAGGATGAAATTGCCCAAAATACGCACCGGCCATAACGGTACAGTGCTGTCATCAGAGAGGTGAGTCATCATCTTATAGAAAAAGGAAAATCAGGGTGGAAGAGGCTGCATACAAAGCAGCTCAAATCTAAAGCTGATCATCTACAGAAATAACCCCTGTCTAAAAATAAAAATTCATTGTCTTTGTGTGTCCCAAATTATTTTACCACTGTGTCTTTACAGACTGTTGTTTCAGAGGACTTACCTGTGTGTGAGCGCAAATGTCTTTTGAGCGTGGTGTGGCTGGGGAAGGGCCGCTCACAGTGGCTGCAGATGTAGCTGTGCATGCCTGTGTGGACCTCCATGTGCTGCTGCAGGGCCTTCTGAGTCTGGAAGCGCTTTGCACACAGCAGACAGAACACCGCCATGTCAGTCCCTGGAGAACGCACAAGACACAGTTATTTCAGTACAGGGCCTTAAGTGGGGAAACTGGGTCACTTCAACTTTGTGTGAGTCCTCTGAGGGAAAAGCTTCTTTCAAAGAGCAAGTGCCTGCACCTAAACTAACTCTCCTGAAAGCCCACAGGCACTTTCAACTCTTTACATGTTCTATTTTAAACCATCAAAGACATTGTTTTCTTTAAGAATTTCCCACACAATGCACAGCATGCCAATCACAGAATCAATGGCTCCTTCCTGGTGTGTTAGATGTGTAATTATTCTCTTCACTCCCCATCAGGAGTCGGCCTCAGCCTATGAAGTCCTCTGTCTGTGCGCTCAAAGAGCGGCAGATAGTGACTCCACCCTAAATGATGCCTACACCATGTGCTCTGTGCTGAATGTTAAGCAGTGATATCAAGCCATTAAAGGCAGGACTGCAGGAAAAAACACAATCCAGTTTAATCCTGTGTGTGACCTGGCATCTCTTTGGGGCTGCTTTCCTGTTGCACCGAGTGTGGAGAGGAATACAGATAGGCAGACGCTGGCACACTACTTCAAGTCAGAATGGCTATGTGAAGATCCATTGGCTGTCATGCTCTCAGTGCTTGAAATACAAGCTGTGTATGACAGCAGCCACATTCACACTGTCATACACATAAATGCACATCATAGGAGTCAAACTTAACAAGTGGTTAACTAGTCGTGTTCATGGGAGTGAGACTAAAGCTCTAATGTGAGATTATGGGCTGCTTATTTCTCTGTCTGCTCAGGTTGCAGATCATTTACAATGCTAGCAGCTCCCATTGGTCCTGACTCAGATTCAATCAGACATCTCCAGCGGAGGATCATTAGTAAACAGAAGACTGTGCCAGCACTTCATTGGAATTCAAGTGGGGTTGCTGTGTCGCATTTAAAATGCAGTCTGATGAGGTCCACTAAATCAAATCATTTGTTACTGTTATTGAAGTGCCTTGAGGCAACTGGCAATTAAATTGGAATTAACGCGGGGAAAAGGATACAGCACACTCATACTAAGAGGGAAGAGTGTCAGACACTTGCTTTAGGTTCAATCAAGTTAACAGACAAGCCTTTTCAAAGAAGAAAGGAAATGTAATCACGTACATTCACATCATGTATTGTATTAAACCATATTACAATTTGGAAAATGTTTTTTTTTTTTTTTTTTTTTTTTTACTTTTATGTGTAAAAGAAGAATTGTGCATAAATGAACATTTTTGGTTTGGTGCTTTTCAAACTGTTCTCTTGTCTAATATTAGCATTGTTCAGCATTAATACAAGTGATGATCAGTAATCATTAACAGAAAGAAGACAGGATGAAAGACATTCCCTGATCTTAACAGTCCTGCAGGGAGGCGATCCGCTGGACTGAACTGCACCTGTTCAGGGCTTTAGCCTGTGGACTTTTGCACAAAGGGACACAATGAGGTTCAGGCCCTCATTGACCAAGCCCATTAGTCATAGGTTCCTTGTGCAGCTCCTACAATCCCTGTCTTTATGTTGTTGCCTAATGACCACAGCTTTCTCTCACCCACGGATCACAATATTTTAGTGGAAGACAAAAGCCCTCCCCCCACCATTCACACAGCCTCTGCTCCCACTCCCACCTCTCCTCTGCTGACCATATAGGAAATCCTTTCATTCGTGAAACAGCATTACCTTTTGCCTTAGTCATGCTTAACTCAGACTGCAGAATCATCATGGATCTAAAAATAGCACACATTTAACACATGTCTAAACTCAACAGGTTTTCCTGCTTTTCATGCACTGTTATAAAAGCGGATCTACTCTTAATAACATTGCAATACATTTAGAGGTCAGCAGGGGGAGTGCCTCTGCTTCAACATGCCCATTGGTGAGCTGAAAGCAGAGCTTTTGACAGACTGAATAATACATCCTTTCCTTTAGATACTTCAAAGTTATTTAATTCATTTGCAGAATTAAAAAAACGAATCATTATTTATATATAGAATGCATAATACATGTGCTTTCAAGGCTGCTCTCCTGCTTTAAACAAGGAGCTGTCTATTCTAAAAGTTAAGTTTACAATAGAGTGGAGGTAAAAGTGTCGAGACTCCCAGACACTCCTTCATCTATATGGCGTTTTTTTCTGTCACCGAGAATTCTCCAACATGAGCAGAGACACTGACAAATATTCTGTCACCAAACCTCACTCTACATCTCAGGCTGACACATGGTGACAAAAGCTCACAAGTTGCTTCATTTTCTTTCTGCACAACCTTCACTGGAAATAAAAATAACAAAAAAATAAAGCCAAGTCTAAACATAAAACTCGCAAGACATGAAATGTTTGTGGTGGCATGTATTTTGTCTTGCTGTTCAATGGTGTGATCCTTAGAGACAAAAAGCATTCCTGGTTGTCGTCTTTCCAGTAAGCTCCAGTAATAAGTGCGGTGGAGCTTCTTTATGAGAGAATAAGCCCTAAAGTTGGCCATCACTGCCCCCTGCTTTCTCACCCTTAACCAGACAATGGGCCTGGGATTTAGGTTTAAGGCACTGGGTGACCCCTGACCTTTGGCCCTCAATGGGGCAAATACCATGTAATCAATGGTATTCCTGAATGGCCAGAGAGTTGACTGTGCATTGTGTCTGTGGGAAGGAGGCTGAATAGTGGGAATTTGCCAGGTCAAAACAAAAATGTACATTTCTTACATTATTGGGCTGCTTTCTTAATAGGCATTTAAATTAAGTTGGGTAATTGAGGGCGATTGGAGGTTGTTATGCCATCCACAGTGACACTATGTGTATACTCATGTGATTTAACATGGTCTGCTTTCATACATCTGCCACTTACTCAGTCCAACTGAGGTGGGAGCCCGCCAGGCTCTCACGCTGCCTAAGAAACAAAACCATGTGTCTAGGCAACCAGATAGGATCATGATCCTTGTTGGGGTGAAGTGTTCAAGCTAATCCCTTCATTCACAAATAAGCACAGCCTGTTTCTTTTCAAGCATCACACAAAAGTTTTCCCACCCTGAGAATCTGGAAGTAAACTCACTGCAAATTGAACAAGACCAATGACAACCTCTATAAATCTTGTGTGTTAATCTAAAATTTGGAGTAAGCTTCATAAGTACAGCAGTTTTAAAGTGGCTTTTTACTTAAACTTCACTAAATGCTAATTATGTTACAGAATTTTTAATAACTAATAAACTTGTATTTTTTAATAACTAATAAACATGTATTTTCTTTATGAGGCAGTGTCACTGCATTATTGATCATCATAATGAATAAGTGAAATCTATCAAGACTCTTTATGTGTCTTGTAAGTGCAGTACACTTTGACGGCCAGAATAATATATCATATTCTCATGTTAAACCCTCACAGTCACTGAAGCTGCATCATTAGGTCCCGACCTCACATGACCCAATGCTTTCATGCTGTATTCAGGCTGCTTCTCGTGGACACAACACACAAACACTACAGTACCTTAAATAACCCCAGGCCATCAGTGTGCACTGCTAATCTACCCGAGTGAGGAACAACCATCTCAATAATTAATACAACAAGAGATACGTTGCTTGTGTTTAACCACCATTCCATGGACCAGTTCATTGAGGTCACACAATACGATAGTGTTTTAGCCCTTGCTTCAGTTCCTGAAATGTTACAGTTTCCCTAATTTTGTCTTTACCTCAAAGTCCCTTCACAGTGCTAATTAAGACGAAGAGAACTATCAACAAGGTTAATTTGGTTTAATTATTACAAGTTACAAGTGGCCATTTATAGTTGTGCTATGATGGCTGCCACACAATTAGGAAGGCTCCATTTTAAAGGTAGGCTGTTATTCAATGGGCCACAGGACCGTTTAATTAGGGATTGGACAGAAGGTAATATTATTCACTTGGCAAAGCAGCCGGTAATGTGTGGAAACAGTGCAGCTGCTGTGCGTACACAAAAGCAGCACTCTTTTGGCCTTTGCCTTAAAGGCGAGGTGGCAAAATAGTTAGCTAAAGCATATAGTCCATTTCAGTGGCTGCTGTAGATAAGCTCGTGCCATGAGCTCTCTCAAATTGAAAGCAAATGCCCCAAAGCCTTGACTTCTCTGATGAAACAAACTCCTTTGTTGTGAGCGCAGTTCGGAGACAGATCCATTCTTTTATTTTGGGCACTGACAAGTAGGTCAGAGGAGACTATGACAGGGCTGTGGTGAGAAGTAAACAGGAGCACATGATGTTTTTCTCTCAGTCCTGGCATCCAACACCAGCAGCCATCCTGCTGCCCTCAGGAAGTCCTCACAGCCCCTGCCCCCGCTACTGCCCCTCCCTTTGATCTCTCTAAACCAACCAAAGGCCATTCACCTCTGACATATCAAAATGATTAGAGACTTTCACTGTAAACGAGTCCCACAGCCAGTGTTACCCAACTGCTCCACACCACGTCTCCCATATAGTATTATGTTTCTGCCAAAGGATCTGAAGGGGAAACATGTAACTCAAGTGTTAATGTGCCTGGAGGAAGCTGATTTGGCTTGCATGACACCACACCAAAACCATGTTACTCTACATAATGGACAGTTTGACAGTTAAGCTCAAAGTGTATGTATCTAACTATATAGGACATGAGCACAGACATACAGCAGACTGACGCCATGACAAAATAGGGGAGTATTGCCTGGATCTACAGCTGTGGATCTGATGCCAACCTGAAACTGAGCTGGGGATGTTTACAACCTCGGGAGATGAGGGTAGAAACTTCTGGGCATCGTTAACACCCCTCCATGTCCACATGCATTAACTATTCATTCTGTGTGTGCCACCTGGAGTTACAGTTACATGCCAATGCGCCTGAGAGCCTGATCGCCTTTCTCTGACAGTAGCAGAAAAGGTGTGGGCCCTGGCAGCTTTAATGTACAACAATGTCCTGTCATTACAGAACAAGTTGAACATGTTTTAAACCTATAAAGCATCCATACCAAAAAATACATGTTACATACATAGTACATACATGTTTTTACTTATTACCAAAATAACAGCCTTGGATTGTGTGCTTGAGGATGTAACATTTATAGAAAAAAAGGTCTGTGTTTGATACAGGGACTACAGGTGGAAATTAGCTCTAGTGCTACAACCTGGCACAATGCATCTCT